GTGCGAAGCCCCTGCTAGCTACACTTGTGCGTTATCTTTGTCTTTAGTGTTTGGGAAGTTCAGTGCAAACTAGGAAATAAAATTCCTTGCATTAAGAAATTAAGGTCATTTTGCATTTTTGTTATTGTTGACGTCTGTGCTTTCCTGACACTTGCAGATCTAGGCACTGTGTTTTCTTCATTGCAAACTTAATTTGGAGATGCGAAATTTAGTTTCTAATGTGGACATGGAGAAATGTCGTTGGCTCGGGGCTAGGTAGAGCTTTTCAAGGAAACTTCGTCCACAAAATAGCAATGGAATTACAGTGGACCCTCCAGTTTCCAAAGTTTTGCATTTTCCAGTTCAAATACTCTGAATGAAAATACTCTGAAAAAATCGCATCTGTACCGTAGATGTTACAGACTTTTCTTGTGATTATTTCCCCGAACAGTACAGGACAGCAACTCTTTACATAGAATTTGTATTCTAGGTATTATATTAATCTAGAAATGATTTAAAGTAATGAGAACATATACCATAGGTTATATACATATAAGAGATATGAGTATCATTTGATTTTGACATCTCTGGGCATCCCAAAACCATACTGAGGGACAGCTACTTCAGTAAAACAGAACATTATGGGGATTAATTAAACTGGTACTCATGACAGCACTTACTTACATTCTTGTACAGTTTCAAAGAATTCTGATGTACTTCATTTCCTGTGATCCTTCCATGAATTGTCAGGCATTTCCCACTTTTAATGGTGTGGGAAAAACTGTGTTTCAGTACCTTGACTTTTAGTTCAATGATCCTTTACTTTATGCTTCTTTAGAAGAGAGGTAAATTATTATTGAATGTCATTTATTGATTCATTTCAGATTGAAGAATGTCCCGGGTTCCACTGGGGAAGGTCCTTCTTAGGAATGTCATCCGGCACACAGATGCTCACAATAAGGTGAGCGGTACTGTCCAGTCATTCTTCAGCACTTAAAGAGGGGACACATTGTACCAAGCATTATTCTGCCATTTAGGAGCTACAAAGATGAAAAAACAGATAACTTTGGTATAGTTTGATAAATACTATATTATAGAAACATTTAGAAAGTGCTTTAGAGCACTGAAGAAAGTGTAATGAAATCTTGGGAGATTAGAAGAGATTTCACAGAATGAGTGTTATGTTAGTTGCTGATACTTGAACTGGTTCTTGATGAATGAGTGAGTATAGCTTTACTAGGTATAGAAGGTCATTCTGGCTGAAGAGCATCACGCACTATATATGGCAGTGAAAAAAGGCATGAGCTGGAGGTACAGGTCGGTGGTCTAGCGGTGGCCTAGTATGTGCAAGGCCCTGTGTTCAGTCCCCAGCACCACAAAAAACAGACAAACTGTGCATCACCTGGGGCATGGCAGAAAAGTGTATATATCCAGGAAGCAGGGAGTGTCCTGGGAATGGGGAAGTAGAGCCCTATAATACCAGTACTCTTGAAGGCTAAGGCAGGAAGATTGAAATTTCAAAATCACTTTGGGTGACTTAGTGGATTTAGCAGGATCATGTCTCAAAAAATAAGAAAGGGGCTGGGAATATAGCTTAGTGCAGAGTTTGGGTTTCAATCTCCAGGACTTAAAGGAAGAAAAAAAGGCATAAAGGGGATAGTGGTAGAAGGTAAGACATAAGTGTCAAGGAGATGACAGTTTTTCTCTTTTGGCAGTAAAGAAGCCATTATATGATTTATTTTTTATTTTGATGTATTTAGTACAGGGTCTACAGGTCTCACTACACAGGTCAGACTCTAGTGATCCTCCTGTTTTCAGCCTCTCAAGCGTTGGGATTACAGGCGCACACCACCACACCCAGTCTACCATCATATGTTTTAAACAGTGTGACATCACATATGTACTTAGATAACAACTGCTCAGGGAATAGATTAGGTGGAGAGAAACAGTAGGGAGACCAGTTAGGTGATTGAAATGTTGTAGGTGAGATGGTGAGGGTTTGAGGGAAGGCAGGACTGTAAGGATGCAGAAGAGGCAATTAAGAGAGTGAATCAAAAACATTTGGTGGCTAATTGGGTGACAGTGATAAATGAGTCACATATAATCACTTTGTGTAACCTGGGGGGATGATGATGGTCCCATTAACTAAAAATAATGGAACAACAACAAAAGATAAAATATAATTGGTTTAGCTTTAAACATATTTGTGGTGAGGGGCTTGCAGTTCAAAACTCAGACTTGGAAGAATGATGAGAGGCTAGACATGGGTTTGTGAGTTCACTGGTTTACAGGAAAGTGACAGAGGTCACGAGAGTAGATAAGATCATCTAGGAGAGCACATACACTGAGAAGAAAGCCAGACCCAATGTTTAGTTTTCTTCAGTGAACTGTACTGTTGGTTGGACCATAACTGTTATTATTGGCATGTCACCTAATGTTTCAGTAATGGGCAAGTTTGTAATTATCATGCTACCTAAGCAATTGCATTAACTAATTCAGTTATATGTAGCTAAAGTGATAAATCTGACACATATGTAATAAATTATGTAGGACTTAGAAATAAAATGTGTTCATGTTCGTTGAACATTGTAATCTGAATTTTAGTTATTTAGCAATCATACTGGCATTTCTTTGGTTTTTTTCCCTTCCCTTTTAAGACAGATCTCACTATGAAATCCCAGGGCAGGCCAGATAACTCAGTGGATTAAAGCTCTTGCTTAGGCAGATGCAGAGACTAGGTTTGATTCCTGGCATGCTGTGCTGGCCCCGTCCCCAGGGAGTGCTGAGATGAAGACCGAGATGGGACATGGTGGCGTGCACCTGTAATCCTAGTGCTTGGGAGGCTGAAAACAGGAGGGTCACTATGATTTCAATCTGTGTAGTGAGACCCTGTAGATACATTAAAAAATGAAACAAAAAAACCCCTGAAATTCAGATTAGCCTTGAAACTGTGTAGCCCAGGCTGGCCTTGAACTCATGCCTCAGCCTCCTGAGTGTTGAGGCTATAGGCCTGTGCCCTCACGCCCATCTCATACTATTACTGTTTTTGAGAATTACAGTGTGAATAAGATGTATTAGGGCTGGCTATGGTGGCCCACGCCTGTAAATCCAACCTTTGCCTATAAGGCTGAGGCAGAAGGATTGTTGAGAGTTCCACACCAACCTCAACTACAAAGTGAGCTACATAGTGAGACCCTGTCTCAAAAAGACCAAAAAAAAAGATGTATTATATACCATATACCAATAACCCATGAGGAACATTGTTATGTATTGCAAATGTGTACTAATAAAAAATAAAGATTGAAAAAAAATTATAGAATGAAAAGTGACAAACTTTGTGATTTTTCAGAACCGGGGATTGAACTCAGGCCCTAATGTTTGCCAGGGAAGCGCTTATTCCACTGAGCCATCTTCCTGGCCCCACTTTGTGAATTTAAAGATTTGTCTTTATTAATTTTTTTACTTTGGTAATACCTTTTAGCTTTTATTTTCAGTAAAATGTAATAGTGGTACCTGCTTTGATTTTCTTATAACAATGGTCAAAGTTCATTCGAAATGACATAATTTTAATCATATTACTTTTTTTTTTTTTGAGGAACTGGGGATTGAACTCAGACCCTTGTGCTTGCCAGGGAAGCGCTTATTCCACTGAGCCATCTCCCCGCCCCCCCATATTACATCTTTTTTTTTTTTTTTCCCATATTACATCTTAAAGACATGTGTTATTACAATTTTTATTATTGAAGAATGTTTTGTGTTTGAGATTTCCTAGGTTGGATTGTTTAACCACTTACTAGAGAAACCAGAATTTATTTTCCAGGTGGTACCCTAGTAATTAGTACAGACTATATTTTTAGTTAGCTAGTTTTCTGTAAGGTAGAATGCTAATTTTTAGTGACTTACTTTATTTTATTTTATTTTTTTTAATTCAGATCCAGGAAGAATCAGATATGTGGAAAATAAGAGAAATAGAGAAACAGATGGAGGATACTTATCAAGAAACCAAAAGGAAAATGTTGCCCAGCAGTTCAAGGTGAAGTTGAATCTCTGAGAACCAGAATAATTCTCATCTTTTTTAGAATCAACTTTTGCTTAAAAATATTGTGATAGACTGCTGAGGGTGGTGGCACATGCCTGTAATTCCAGCGCTAGGGAGGCTGAGTCAGAAAGATTGTTGTCAATTTAAGGCCATCCTGGACTGTACAGCAAGACCCACTCTCAGAAAAACAAAGCAAAAATGAGCAAACCATTGTGATACTGTCAAGGATAGATCTTTATGTTATTAAGGATACTCTTGTTTTGCAAATCTAGACCCAAACATGAAGACAGTGGCTGGGCATCTGCCCATTAGCTCAGTCTTTCAAATGCCTGCTTAACAAAGTACTCAGCCTCAGGATGCTCTGGTTCAATCCCCAGATTCCTTACCAGGCCCGCCCTTAAGGCATGCTGAGCCAGCACCCCCCCCCCCAAAAAAAAAGACAATGGCTGTGGTACAGTGGCCAAACTGTACTTGCAGTGGAAAATTTAAAAATTCTATCTGGGACAACTAAATATTTAGGATTCTGTGAATTCCAGACTTACATAATAGGCCTTCCCCCTCTTCTGTCTGTGTGTGTGTGTGTGTGTGTGTGTGTGTGTCTGTCTGTCTGTCTGTTTCACACATTTTTGCTGTGTAGTTCAGGCTGGCATTGAACTCACTTTGTAGCCCAGACTTGCCTCAAACTTGTAGTAAGAAGCCCCATGCCTCAACTTTCTGAGTGTGGGAATTACAGGCAACTGCCACCATGCTTAGCCTTTGTCTAATAGCCATGAGTCCCAAGTAATAGGGAACATATCTTGGCCCTCCTGCTTGTTAGCTGTAGGATATGTGTTTGTGTTGGGTTTTGGTTTTGGTTTGAGACAGGGTCTTGCTCTGTAGTTCAGGATGGCCTTAAATGTACTGTGTAGCTCAGGCTAGCCTTGAACTCATAGCAGTTCTCTTTCCTCAGCCTCCTGAGTGCTGAAATTAAGGCATATGTTGTTATGCTTGGCTTTTCATGGGTTTTTATAAATGTATTAGTCACCTTTTTTGTTACTATAACAAAACACTTCAGATTGTTAATTTATGAAGAGGTTTATTTTGGCTGACAGTTTCAGAGGTCCCAGTGCATTCATTGGTTGTCCCTCTTGCTTTGAGCTGGTGGCAGGGCAGGGCATCAGGGCAAGAGCACACATTACGGTAAAACTGCTTACTTCGTGATCAGAACTACTATGGACTAGGATCTCATAGTTCCTTCCCCCACTCCCCTGTCCTCTGACCTAAAGACCTCTTATTGGTCTCTCACCTCCCAGTACAGCCACTTTGGGGACCAAAGCTTGCATGGGCCTTTAAGAGGCATACCAGATCCAAACTGTAGTTGAGGAGACGGTGGTGGTATAGTGGTGAGCATAGCTGCCTTCCAAACTGTAGTGGAGAGGGATAGTTAATGTCCAGTACACATTACTTTATGTTTTACTCTTTTAAGTGTTACATTGTTTTATTCTACTCTCAAGCTGTTCTGTGATTTTTATGCCTGAAGTAACATCACAAATGTTTTGAAATTTTTTTTTTTTTTTTCGGAATTCAGGTCCTTGTGCTTGCCAGGCAAACGCTTATTCTACTGGGCCACCTCCCTGGCCTTGAAATCTAAATGTTCTGTTTTCTTCTGTAGTCGGATGCGTAGTGATGGATTTGATGAAGAAAGTCAGAGAGAATATTGGAGGCCAAAGACTGAAATTTCTGGAACATTGGAAGATGATTTTCTTAAACCCAAATCCTGGAACAAGAAGTTGTATGATTATGAAGCTAATATGCCAGACAGGTTTGTGACTAAACTCCTGTGACCATTAGTGATAACTGATTGAAGAACATGTGTTTGTCAAAATCATATATTCCCATAAAAATACGTACACAGGGTGTTAGCATCATTCAAAAAGTGGAAAACTAAGTCAGACACAAGGTAACAGGCCTGTAATGAGGTTACTTTGCACAGATTAGCAAGAGAGGAGAAAAAAATGGCAAAAGAATAAAATGGAGAGAAAGCTTCCTAAGGAGGGAAAAGGTGCTAAAGAGGAGGAGGAAAGTGGGAAAAAAAGGAATCAATATATAAAATTCTGTGATGAATGTGATCACATTCTAAATTATACGAATAAATAGTCCAAAAAAAAGGCCTAGTCTAGGGAAAAAAAAAGTTGATGTAGTTCAGCATTCTCTGGGTGCAATCCCTAGTGCTATGCAAAAATGGGGGGTTAGGGGTGACCCTTCATGTCTATATATTGATGAATGTGGGATATAAGTATTTTTTGGCAGTAAAAGAAACTATTGATAAGTGATACAACATGGTTAAATCTTGAAAACCTTATCAAGGTGTAAAAAGCCAGTTACAAGGTATAATATACAATATGTCAGGGGACTAAGAAATAGGCTTGGTTTTTAAGAGCTCAGTGTAAGAAAATTCAAAATATATCTAATGGTATCTCTGGGAGTTTAATGTCACAAAGTAGTGAATAAAGCATGCTAATGTGCAGGGGTAACGTAAGGATTGTAAGCCTGTATGAATACTCAGAATTTTAAAGCTTCAGTGTTTTCTGGTTTTTAAGACTTCAGAGGTGGTCTGTAATGGATTTGAATGTTTCATTTGTGGTATAATGAAATGTTTATGAAAAGATGACTTTTTCATTAAGGTATTTTTAGGGAAAAAAAAAAGCCAGTTACAGCAGGTCACATACTGTATGATTGTTTATGTGGTATGTCTAGAATAAACAAGTCCATTGAGATAGAAAATAGGTTAATTGTTGCCATGGGATAGGGGTACTCTTTTCCTTTTTAATTTGGCACAGGAGGCACTGTACTTTAAAAGGGCACATTTCTTGGTATGTGAATCATACTTCAGTATTTGTAAATTATTATTTTTATAAAAACAATTGTTTCACTGTAGACAGCATGTTAGGAAGTATAAGAGTTCTTTTTCTTTTTTAACGTATTTGGTTGTTGTAGGATCTCACTGTGCAGCTCAGACTTGTGGTGATCCTCCTGTTGTCAGCCGCATTACAGGTGTGCACCACTACGCCAGGACTCTGGCCAGCTCAGCCTGCTCTGGGGGCTGGCAAAGCCTGTGGTGCTGGGGATCCAACTGCGGTCCCTGAGCTTTGCGTAAGCAGGCAGTGTAGTCTGCTGAGCTATCTCACTGGCCCTAATGGTTCTGAAAGAGCATGGGAAATTCTCTTACAAATGGATAGAAGAATCCTTTGTTGGAAATGGTAGCGTAAAGAAAATGTAGCTGTTACAGTGATCATGGATATGGCTCTATGACGTCTCTATTTTCTTTGTTCTCTGTACATCTGTATGCCTGTGCTTCAGCGTCTTTCTAACTTTAATTTCTAAAAATGTATGCATTGCTTTAATCTTGCATGTAATGTGTCATCTTACAGATGGGGTCACAGTGGTTATAAGGAGTTATACCCTGAAGAATTCGAAACAGACAGGTAAGGCAAATTGGCTTACTGAGAAAAAGTTAGGAAGTAAGATTAGTATAAAATCTGTACTATAAATTGTGTTCCAAACTTTCTGGAGGCTATATTTGTTACCGAAAATGTAGCTAGAACCTTGTGTGGTAGCACATACCTGTAGGATCTGCTTTTCAGAGGCTGAAGCAGAGGATCACTTGAATCTAGAAGTTCAAGACCAGCCTGGGCAATGTAGGTATAGGGAGACCTTGTCTCAAAACATGAGTTGGAATGCCTTTGATTGATGTTTGGCACATCTGTAAACATTTTGGTTTTTATATAGGGATAGGTTCCAAGACCCCAAGTGGTGCCAGAAACTTCAGATGGTAGTGGACCCTGTCTGTGCTGTTTTCCTGTACAGACATACCTATGATAAACTTTTATCTTAAAGGAAGTACTCTGTGGCTTCTCTTTGGCATATCCACATGGCCTATATCATTACCCTTGTGTTTTGCTTAGCACTATTAAGTGAAATAATAGTTATTTGAGCATAAACACTGCTATGTTATGATGGTGGCTCTGATAATCTTGATGGCTACTAAATGACTAAAGGATAGCTGAACAGAGGGACGATTCAGGTCCCAGATGGGACAGAGATAGATAGAAGTTTTGTGCTGCTACTCAAAATGACATTAAAAGTTAGGAATTGTTCATTTCTGGAATTTTCCATTAATATATTCAGACTATGTTTAACTAAAACCACTGGATAAGAAGGGATTAGTGGTTATTCTTTACAGTAACAATGTGGCAGATAAGAATTTTTATCTTCATTTTATTCCTTTAACCCTCATTTCCTATGTCAAAGTTCTGATTTAGAATTCAGATGTGAACAGTTTCCTGTTTAGAATCAGAATATTGGGCCTGGGAGATGGCTCAGTGGAGTAAGCGCTTCCCTGGCAAGTGCAAGGGCCTGAGTTCAATCCCCAGTTCCGCAAAAAAAAAAAAAAAAAAAATCAGAATATTAAAATACAAGTACTTTTTTACATACATTATATTCTTTACTTTTTTTATTAGTAGTGATCAGCAGGATATTACCAATGGGAAGAAAACATCTCAGATAAAATCATCTACCCATGAATCCCGCAAACATAAGAAGTCAAAGAAGTCTCACAAAAAGAAACAGAAGAAAAGGTCACACAAAAAACAGAAGAAAAGCAAGAAGGAAGCCACAGATGTAACAGCAGATTCCTCAAGTGAGTTCTCAGAAGAAACTGGTGCTTCTAGTACCAAGAAGA